GTTGTCTTCATATAAATTTATCTGGGTAGTGTTCTGTCTTTTTCTAAGAACTTCATGTTTGCTACAGGTTTCATGTGTCGTTTTTGTAAGATACTGTTCAAACAAGGACAGGCAACACTTGTTAATGATCAACAAGCTGAGGTGGATGACCATTTCACCAATCAGAAATACAAYAACACTTCCTTATTCTACCCTCATAAGATGCACACATCGCCTGTTAACTTTCATAAAAAAACAAAGATTAGACACTAAATGACACAGCTTTCAACTTTTTAAAAAAAGTTATAAAAATATGGAAACATCTATAATTTTCGTCATCGTCTTTGGGATCATTTCAGGTGAGTTTTGATGATTTGAGACACATAAAACATTTTCTAATATTTTCCGAAAAAATATTTTCTTCCTAAATCAAGTCTACATACTTGTGTTTAATTATTTGAGCAGAATTTGTGTGGTCGTGTGTGTGGTGGAAAACACAGATTTCATGCCAAAATCTGTATCAAGCAGATGTAGCAACTTTTTTAAACAAAGCRAAATACACAAAGTTTATTTTGTCTAATTATTTTAAGCAACCATGTGAAACACGTTATACAATGTTGTATGAGCTGGCAAAACAGGAATATTTAAAACAATCGATATTTAGAGTGTCTTTTCTCAAAATTTTAACGTTTTAAAATTATCTTGACATGATAGGGAACAGGAAATTGTAAAATTTGATAACAAATGAGTTAAACACTGAGACATACATTACAGTCAAAATAAAAACACAACGATTTAAATGGTAAATGGCCTAAACTTATGCAACATCTGCAAATTTTGTCCAACATGCTGAGGGGGTCAGGATTTGTTGGCCCCCCATTTTTATCCTCTTGAGTACCCAGCCTTTTCATTTTTAAATTCCCCTAGCTATTTAGCTATAATAGAACCTTATAAATATAAAAACATTGTTAACATTTTTTAACATCCGTCCATCCGTCTGTATTCTTCCGCTTATCTGGGATCGGGTCGCGGGAGCAGCAGCCTTTATGTACTACTTTGGACTCGAAAGCGCTTCACAATAATCAGTCAATCAACCATTCACACACTGAAGGAGGTGAACTACATTGTAGCCACAGCTGCTCTGGGGCCCACTCTATTTAAGTTATAAATAAGAAACAAACCACTTCAGATTAGAAATTGATCATTTTGAATTTATGGAAGCTTATGTTGAACTCTGTGATGGACTTGTGACCTGTCCAGGGTGTACCCCGCCCCTCGCACTGTGACTGCTGGATATGGGCACAAGTGACCCACGCAACCCTGAAAAGGAAGAAGCGTGTACAGAAAATGGATGGATGGATGGATGTTGAACTCTGATGGCCTGTTCAGACAATTTAAACTTTTTGTTGTAATTCTGGTTTTTCAGTTATAGTTCAGTTTCGTTTTTACTTTCTTCATAGCATTTTGTATGGTTTATTTTTCTGTTCCTCTGTCTGATCAGCTATACACAAGTGTTTTTCATGTCAATATTAATAACAATGGATTAAATGTCTCCATCTTCCCCATTGTTCTGAACAGAAGCCAAAATGCCCATTATTTTCAGTACTGCCATGTAGAATCTTTGGAACCAGAGTCTTGAGATGCAGTTTTAATGTTAATACAAAMGTCTGGCATACACATCTTGGATGAAGACTTTCACATATATGACACTTTGGTTTAAAAATACTTTTTTTATTTATTTATTGCTATGAACAGTGCCAGATACAATTATTATAAAATAAACTGTTGACAGKTCTGTTTGATTAGCTTTGTACCTTGTTCTTGTTCATGTTTTTCTTTTCTTTTTGTAGGTTTTTCTGAAGGAGTTGGTGTGTTACCAGATGGTCCAATAAATGCGTGTATAAATAAAACAGTGTTGCTTAAAACAGATCTGACTCCAACAGAAACACCATTTCTGTCCGTGGCCTGGAGATTAGGTGTTAATAAGCCCATAATAACCTCAGGGCTTACATCAAACACAACTGAACGGGAATATGAAGACAGGATCACTCTTTTCAGATCTACTGGATCTCTGGAGCTCAGGRATCTGACACAAAATGACAGAGGAGAGTACAGAGTTAACATTTTACCAGCAACTGGTTTGTCAAAACAAGGGCTCACCAATCTGGATGTACATGGTGAGATGCTGATGAAAATGAACTGAAAATTATTGTATTCAAGTGTTTACAGTTTGGCATAAAAACAACCAACCTACCAACCAAACAAAAAACAACAAACAATGTATGAAAATATCAACCAACATTGGAACTTTACATTTTATGTTACAATGTGCTACAAAAGTGTCATGGTGCAATTCAGTGTTTATAAATTCTTTGGAGTTGTGATTTTCTTCGCTTTATAAAATTTGTYTTTCTCATGGTCCCAGTTTGAGCTTCCCTGTGATAACTAATTCTTTTTGTGTGAATCTCAAAAAACATTACTATATCTGACTGATGCCTGCTGCATGCCTGCAATTTAAAATCACACTACATATCAATATCAATAAAAATAAAAAAAATAAAATATTATTGTATTTGGGGCAAAAATGTTTTGTCAAAATTGTATTCTTAACATTCTATATTTCAAAAATAATAATACCTACTTTATTTTCCACAGAACCAGTCTCTGTGACTGTAAATCCTCAATTTGCAGACTTGGTTGAGTACAACAGCTCTGTCAATCTGTYCTGCTCCTCCTCTGGATCCTCCTCTTTCCGCTGGATGAACAGCAGCTCTGAGGTTACAGCCAGTGACAGAGTTCAGATCAACTCAACTGACACAGGATCCACTCTGACTATAATCAATGTGACCAGATATGATGAGGGATTATATGAATGTCATCCTCTCTGTCCTGATGTTGGTGATCTACCTAAAGTAAACATCTCAGTCAGCTGTAAGTAATCAAACTATATTCACTCCCTGATTAAGTCTACATGAAAACTTTCAAATCTATAGAAATGTGATATATTTGTTCCAGTGATATAATGTTCCAGTGCAGTATGGACAAAAGTCCAATATTAGGTATAGCCCTGTTGTAATTTGCATCRCACTGTCTGGATTTGGTTTCAAAGTTTTGSTGCCTGATAYCATTTAGATATGTTTTTGCAGGTACCTTGTGAACATTAGTGTAGTTGTACTTGTCAATATACAGCTTAACAGTGATTCACACTGAACACATTTAGAAACATCTTACTTTACTTTTGTTTCCTCCACACTTAGATGGGGCAGAAAAATACTTTTTTTTCCATCCAATAAACCTTACATAGACCTCACAGACATCTTGCAATGGGGACCCCTTAAAAGGGAACAGCCAAAATAATAAGAAACCATATACAATAGAAAATAATTAGTATGAACAATATATATA